ACAGGCTTGGGGGTCTGGGGTCTTGAACTGTGTGGCCTTTGGCCAGTTATCTCCCCGCTCGCAGCCTCAGTTTCCTCATCTGTGAAGTTGGCGGTGGGGGTCATATTGGTTTCAATTTCACAGGATGCCGCTGAGGGTTCAATAAGATGATACCCAAAGAGACTCAGGCCACACCTGGCCCTGAGGAGGCTCCCAGACGCTACCCCTCACTAGTGTCAGGCGAGCTGGGAAAGGACCAGAGACGCCTGTATGCACACCTCAAAGTGACTGCATCGTCTCTGGAGGAGGAGACACAAAAGCAGTCAGGCTGCTCCAATGAGGTGGACGAATCTGTTAATTTGAAGTTATTCACGAGGAAAGAAGACGCTCAATTAAATTAGAGTGACCTTACTTTGCATGTGGAAGATGGGCTTGGCCACCCCCAGAGAACTTGCCGCATCCATCACCGACCCCAAGGGGGAAATTACCAAGAAAAAGGACAGGACCGCTCCCCTATGGTAAGCGGGCCTGTTGAACAGAATGAGGGAAGTGTGATGTTTCCTCCCCAAAGGCTCCTGTTCTCTGCACAGGTCCTCGAAGCGGGGACTGGTGCCCGTAAGTCCAGCCACCACACTGGGTGACCTTTTCTGACTGACCCTGGGACAGAGGCCCGTGAAAGCATGCTCAGTGTTTCCAGGGCATCAGCCTGGATGAGGGGTGCCTGCTGTCCCAGAGGCATGTAGGGAGTTGTGACGATGCTAACAGTGGATCACCCACTGACTCCTGCCCTGTTCTGAGCCCTTGACACGTACTTTTTCATCTTTCCTGGAGCTCTCAGGGGTGCATATGCCCAGGGTCACACGCCCAGCAGCTGGCAGATGCAGGCATCTTCTGAGGTGTTCCCACATAGGAGGGGGAACTGACAGATACTTCGGGAAAACTGGGAGCATTTAGCAGGAGATGAAGGCCTTTTCCCCTCTCGTTTCCTCAAGGAGGCTCTGGATTTGGGACCGGCCCTGCCCTTTGATCTGGAGGAACTTCTGTCTGTGCCTTGGTTGGCTCGTCTGCACAGTAGCATGGTGATGGCTCTCATAGACCTGAGGGAGGTGGGCTCAGCACAGGGCGGTGCACGTGTTGTACATGTTAGCATCCTGACTAGTCCCAGTGAGTGGTTGCTATGACAACAGGGAGTTTGGGCTGGGAACCAGCCCGCCACCCCCTCCTGCTCTGATTCCCCTTATTTGTGACCAGGCTTTGCTGTGAGCCCCGTGGTCACAGGAGACTTGAACTGAGTGGGGGGCAGCGGTTGGACCTATCTCTTCCGCCAGTGTGCTGGGCACTTGGCCCCGTGTCCAGGTAAAGGGAAGTCTGTGAGATCGAGGACGCTGAGGCAGGATCTGTGTGGCTCTGCGTCTTGGGGGCTCCTCTCTTGGCTGGAAGTCTAGAAGCTACCCATCCTGCAGACTTTGGCTGCTCGTTGCTTTTAAAACTCTTTGAATATGCTGCCAGCGTTAAAGGCCAGGCGGCTTCACCAACAGTTTCTAGGTTCTGGAGAGATTGGCAGTTGTGGCTGCACTGGCCCAGCCTGCCTGGGGCTCTCTGGTCTGCTGGGGTTTCAGCTAACAGTGCATGTCTGGAGCACTCTGTGGACCTGATGAGGAGGAGCTCTTGCTTGATTAATGATGCCTGCAGTGGAGCAGGAGTGAGGAACTGGGCATAAAGATCCACAGGGGCCAGGCAGGTGAGGTCAAGCAGAACTAGGGCCCAGGTGGAGCTTGGGGCAAGTGGATAGCACAGCCCGTGTTAAGAGGGCCACCCACAGCTCTGTTTGTTACTTTGGATGGGGACGGGACTATGGATGCAAATGCCCTTAGGCCCCCCATTTGCCCCGTATTCCAGCAGATACTTTCTGATGTATGTCCCAGAGAGGTGGGTTCATGTCCCCTGAAGGCAGAGTCTCCAGGAAGGAGACTCAGACTTTCACACTCAAGGTATGAAAGTTCACTGTGCTATCCAGGAGACCAGAGCCCCCTCACCCCATGGCCAAGGTCAACACACCCAGCCTAGGCTTATTTTTGCCTTATGGGTTGGGATGAATCACCTGCTGGCTGGGGGGCCTCTCCTGACCCCCTCAGTCCCCCTGTCCCTGTGCTTCCGTGTCTTTGTGCATGCCCAGTTGTTCAGTTGTGTCTAGCTCTGTGCGACTCCATGGACTGTAGCCTGCCAGGCTCTCTGTCCATGGGATTCTTAAGGCAAGAATACTGGAGTGGGTTGCCATGCCTTCCTCCAGGGGATCTTCCTGATCCAGGGGTCAAACCCATCACTTACGACTCCTGCATGGGCAGGTGGAGTCTTTACCACTAACACCACCTAGGAAGACCCTGTGTCTTTGCATTCCCTGGAATATCCAACTGGGTCCTGCTTGACCCTCTCTTTTCAGACATGTGGGTTTGGACTGTCCTTGTTTGCTTTGGCTGGTGTGCTAGGGAGCCCCTACTAACCATGGTCACCTTGGTTCAACTCATGGTTCCCTGAGTGCTGGCCATGTGGACCCCCACACGGCCTCCGCCTTCCACGTGGGGAAACCGGTATGGACTCAAAGTGAGTGAGGGTCACAGAGCCAGCCTGGGCATCCCCATGGAATGCTATGCCGGCCCCGGACCCGCCTCAGGGACTCTGCAACCCTTAGGAGTCTCCCCTCCCTTCTGGCCACAACCCCAGGCCCCTGGCTTCCAGAATAGAGCCTGGAAGCGCTTTGTGGTCTCCTGAGAATTTCATCCCATCGTCCCCCATGTGGATTTGTGTGGGGCTGTGGCCCAGGAACCAGTGTGGTCATGTTAGTGCCTTCAGCACCCTGGGCTCCTTTCTGGGGGTGATTATGTGACACCGCACCCCAAAAATCAGGTCCTCCTGCTCTTTGGGGGTCAGGAGAGCTGTGGGCTGTGCTCACACCCACTCAGCCCGTGGGGCCTCATCTGTTGCCCCATTTGGGCACCTCCAGCCCTGTTGCCTTCGGCAACGGATGTTGCCTGGAGCAGGGCAGCGGCCTGGCTGGGAGCCTTTAGGCCTCCAGGCCTGGGACAGAGACACAGACACCTCCCTTGCTTCAGGTCAGGCATGGGCAGGGCCCCTGGAGACGGGCGGAGGAGGGCAAGGGTGCCTACCCCCAGGCCCAGGCCGGGGTGAAGAGTGCACGGTGTTGGGGGAGGGGCTGCAGGCCCCTCTGAGGAGGGGGCGTGGGTGCTGCACAAAGCCAGCCTGTGTGTCCCCTGAATGGGCAGCTTTATCCCAGGCCCTAGCGCACAGGCCCTGGACCAGCCTGTCTGGGGAGGCAGGAGGTGTGGCCACAGCCACTGGGTTCAGGCCAACGTCCTGGCCTTTGCCAGCTCAGGCCCCGCACCCTCCTGGCGGGAAAGGGAATGAGTCCCTCTGAGGGTTTGAGGCCTGTCCGATTTCCTGCCAGGCGGGGCCCAGCCTTCTCAGGCATCAGGAAGGACTCACCAAAGTCCCTGGCTACTTCATCGTCCCTCCTGGTCCCTCCCAGGGCAAGATAAGGATGTGGCTCCCACCCCCACCCCCCAGGTTGGAGCCAGGGCCCAGGCTCCAGATGGAATTCTGGGTGCAGCAGTGGACATCCAGGGAGGGAGTCAGCAGCAAGGAGCCTGTCACATGACCTGAACCTGGGTCCCCTCACCTGTGAGACGGGATGATGAGAAAGCACCCGTATATATGCTCAGCCCTGCACAGAGATGCTCAGCTCTGGCACATTCTTTCTCCCTATAGTCCTATGGACTGTAGGATATTAAGCAGCACCTTGATTCTCACCCTCTAGATTTTGGGAGCGCCCTCGGTTGTGTCACTAGTATCACCAGTCTGAGCCACTAGTGTCCTCAGACATTGCCACGTGTTCCCTAGGGGGCAGACCCACTCAACTAACAGCCATCAGGCAGACTTTGGCATGTCTGGGCAAAAAGGCTTAACATGGTGGGAGAAGGTGGGTGTCCTGCAGAGCCTGGGTAGGAAGAAGGGGTGGCCGGGGCTCCGGAGAGGGCTGTGGGCGGGCTGCGTGCGGAGGGGTTCTACAGAACCAGCAGGATCCACCCGGGACGCGTTGCTCTCCCGCTGGAAGCGGAGGCTGGTGGCAGGAGGGGCTGCCCTCGCAGGCTCTGGCCGGGCCCCGGGTGAGTGGCACATGGCTCACGGTGACACAGCGCACCTCACTGCCTGCTTTCCAGGCCCCACCTTCGCCCGCCCCCACTCCTCCAACTTCCGTGTGTCTGTCTGAGAAGAGGAAGCGCTGAGTCAGTGGCCCCAGCTTGAACCTGTACCCCTGGGGAGACCTCAGCTAATTGCCTGTCAGTGCCGGGGCGGGGGGGGGGGGGGGGGGGGGAGGGGGGAGGGTCTTCCTGCCTGCCCTCTGGGTTCTGGGGAGGCACATTTCCTGGCTTGTCCATGGGCAGCCTTGGACCGGAGGAGGCTGGCTGTGCCCCCCGCCCCCTGCTTCAGCCAGGTCACTGCCCGGGCCCCCAGCCTCTCACCCGCCACTGCTGGGGGCTCTGCTGGCCTGGCGCATGGCCGGCTGCCGATTGGCCCCGACACAGACCCGCTCGAGTCAGCAGAAACCGCCTCGACTCTGGCAGGATCAAAATAACCTCTTTCCTTTTCCAGCACTTGAGGGTTTTTCCGCTTTCTGGGGGAAAAAAAACAAAACAACCCAAAAAAAAGAAATGAGAGTTGCAGTGTTTGCAACCTCCCAGAATGTGGTTTTTCTGAGGCCTCTTCCTGGAGGTGGGGGTGGCCCTCATACCCTCCCGTCCTGTCGAGGGTGGTGTCTCTGTGCGTCTTGTGTGTATGGTAAATATGTCTATGCGTGGGTGTATTATCTGTGTTTGTGTGTATGGGTGTGTCGGAGTGTTGGGGTGTACAGGGATGTTGGGGTGGGTGGATGCTCAGGAAAACTGCCCCGAGCCCCTGCCTGCTCTGGGGTCCCCAGGGTCTCACGTGTCCCCTTGGTCTTGCAGCGGAGCTGGAGTTCGTTGAGATCACCATCATCGTGGTGGTGGTCATGGTGATGGTGGTGGTGATCACGTGTCTGCTGAGCCACTACAAGCTGTCTGCTCGCTCCTTCATTGGCCGGCACAGCCAGGGCAGGAGGAGGGAAGATGCCCTGTCCTCGGTGAGTGCCTGAGCTTCCAGGGGCCTGGACGCCCCCATCAAGTGTGCGTGGTGTTGGGGTTGAGTGCTCACAATTGGGGCAGACGCAGCGGCTCGCAGCAGGGTGGGACCTCGCCCTCCCCCAGATCTCAGCCCCCGTCATTCGCCTGCGCCTTCGGGCCGCCCCTGCCCGCCGGCGGGTGTTCCTCAGCAGATGCACCAGGAGGCGGTGCAGAGTCCATTACTAAACAGTTTCCATCTCCACACCTGTGAGGCGGAGTGTAACAACCTGGACAGGAGCAGCTGTGACCGGCAGGCTGCGGATCGCAGAGAGGGCAGCCTGGGGGCTCTGTGGGGAGCACGTCCCTGAGCCTGTGTTGGCCAGGCGCTGGGGGAAAGCGACAGAATCAGGCCTGGGCAGCCAGCATGGTCTCTCAGCTCTGAGGGACAGCTCTGGTGCCCAGAGTCTGTGGGACTGAGCCGCGTCGGGCTGGCAGGCCTGTTCCTGGCAGGTTTGGGCATCTCCGCCTGCGTCAGGCTTCCGTGCGTCACCAGGCTGCCAGGGCAAGGAGCGTGTTTGCTCAGTCCCTCGAGCGGGAACGCGGGTGCCCCAACCCCGAGGCCCCGTGTGCCCGGAGGGCGCTATGCTACCGCTTAGAAGCTTCTGACGCTCACCTGTGGGTTTATTTGCTGTTGCCCAAGTGATGGTGCCAGCAGCTGCACTGCCACATCTTACAGAGGAGAAATTGGGGCTCAGAGAGGTGGGAACACTTGCCTGAGGCCACACAGCTTCTAAGCGACAGCTTGAGGCCTATTTTACCCCTGCCAGATCCTGGTGCAAAAGAGGGCACTTTGGACAAACGGGAAGACCGCAGCCCGAGCTGTGCTCCAGGGCAGCATCTCACCCCTTCCGAGCCTCAGTGTAAAATGAGCCTCATCTGTAAAATGGGAGGGGCTCGCCTCTCTCCTGCCCGCCTCCCCCCCCCACCACGGTCATAGGAAGGGTGATGTTAGTGGTGAGAGCTGGGGAGATGGCAGAGGTTCCCGTGTGAGGGATCCTGGTCACCATGGAAAGGGGACAGCCGTGTGGGCAGCACTGGGACTTCGTGCCCAGATGGAGGCCAGGATCCAGGTTCTGGTTCCTGAACATCTGAGGCTAAAAGAAAGTACCCCTCGACATCTACCAGCCACCTGCATGGGCCCCTGGGGATGCCCGGTGGGGTAAACACAGAGGCTTGTTAGACCTGAAGTACGTGTGGCGGCTCCCCTGGGGCCCCTGCTAGACAGGGCACATCTGCAGAGTCTTGGGGCCCCGTGACCTCCCAGAGAGACCCAGAGACAGCCGTTGTCTGCTTGGCGCAGGGCCCACCCCTGGCATGGCCATCCTGCTGTGGCCTCTTTTCAGGGTGACCCCTAAGAGTTCATTTCCTCATCTGTCAGAGGGTGGGGTTCATGTTCAGGTAAGCCCTGTGCCCTGAGACTGCACGGCCCAGCTGGCGCTGCACCAGAGAAGCTAGAAAATACCGCATGATGATGACAACGGAGATGCCAGCCACTGCAGTGACAGACTGCAGCTTGAAGTCTGCAGTTGAGGGCACGTCGGGGGTCACCTGGGTATAGATAGACCTGGGCCGGCTGCCCGCTCTATCAGGTTCTCTTGGCTCATTCCCATGGACTCTTACTGTGGCTGCGTTCACCCAGCAGCAGGCTTGTTAGTGGCGTGACAGACCCCCTGGCCCTTGATGGAGTCAGCTTTTGGACCCCTGATCTAGATGGGGAAGCCATGGGCAGGCTGGACAGGCTTTCCAGGGATGCTTTTAGGAAGAGAAGGAAGTGTTGGGGAGTGGAGGGGGTGAGAGAAGGAGCTGCCAGAAGCAGCACATGGGTCTGGCACTGGTCCCTGGAAAGGTGTCAGGGCCATTCACTGAGTCAGGGAACAGGGTAAGTTAAGACTCAGCCGGTGGGCAGGTGAGGGCAGCGAGCTGACGCTGGGTTACTCACAGCGGGGCCGGGCTGGCACAGGAGCAGAGTTGCTCTGGGAGCCTGGGGAGGGGCCTCGGGTGGGTGGGTGGTCCTTGGAGGCCTCCCTGGAGGAGGAGGTGACCTCCAAGTGCACAAGTTGGGGTTAGTCAGGTGACAAGGATGGTGGTGATTCTGGGGTTTGCAGTGGGGCCTCCCAGCATTGACTGATGTATTCCCAAGCTCCCTGGTGGAGACTCCCTGGGCTAGGCGGTGGGCAGAGATGGTTTGAACCTTGGATGGAGGGCCTCACAGAGGGGTTTTAGGCAAGTTCACATTGATCCAAGCTGACCTTGGCTGCTTGCACCGCTCTCCAGGGCTCCCAACTTGAATGGGGAGCAGGTGGGTGTGCTTCCTCTGTTTTCCTGATGCCCATGTGGGCTGTGCCAGGGGTCCACCCAGGGGCCACAGAGCCTGATAGGGCCAGCTTGAGTCCGAATGCGTCTGGAGGCAGCAGAAAAGGTTTGGATCCCAGCCCTGCCTCTTACCAGCTGGGCGGATGCCGTTCAGCTACACCGTGTTTTGTCAGGAGAGTTGAATTAGTGCTTTAAAGAGCTGAGCACAGTGTCTGGCACCAAGGCATCCCTAACATCAGTACCGAAACGGCCTGGGTGACCATATTAACAGTAATGGTATGTGTCTGCCCTCTGTATCCCCACACCGGGAATAAACTACACCCCAGAGAGTGTGTGTCGGCTAACTGCTTTCCTGACGGAACGGTTTTGAGACTCACAGAGCCGCCTAGCGGCCACATAGGAAATTACACTCTTCCAGGCAGCTTCCCCCGCTCCCCATCCCCCAAGACTGCAGGTGATAACCGGCAGACCTGGGGACCCTCAAGAAAACAGGTCCCCAAGGAAACTTTGGGGTGATGGATATGTTCATTATCTTGATTTTGGCCTTCTACCCATACAGGAAGGATGCCTCTGGCCCTCAGAGAGCACGGTGTCAGGCAATGGAATTCCAGAGGTGAGTCCTAGCGCTGCCTGCTCTCCATCACTCCCGCAAGTGATGGAGGGGGACTCCCTTCGTCCCTTGCCCTCAGGGCTGCTGTCGTGGACGCCCCTCTGCCCGGGAGCTCCCCTTCCCCAGGCCGGAGGCACCTCCCCTGTTAGTAGAGTGGCTGCTCGAGGCCCACTCCTACTCTTCTCTGAAGAATCCTCCTGGGTAGCTGGGATGGTGCCCGCTGGGACATTGTGCGCTCCCCACCGCCAGCACGCAGCTCTCAGTCTCTGCGACACCGAAGGACTCGGGCTGCTCCTCTCGCCACTGTGTGACACTTCAGGGCTCTCCAGGCATCAGGCACTGGACTCCGGGCTCCGCTCCCTACCCCCATCCTCTCTCCCCAGAGAGCAGAGTCATAGGCAGCACCCCCCCCACCACCACAACACCCCCGCCCCACCCCCGGCTGGGCCCTGCTGCGCTTGAGGGAGGGACCCTCACTTGGCTCTTGCCCTCCAGCCGCAGGTGTATGCCCCTCCCCGGGCCACCGACCGCCTGGCTGTGCCCGCCTTCGCCCAGCGGGACCGCTTCCACCGCTTCCAGCCCACCTACCCGTACCTGCAGCACGAGATCGATCTGCCGCCCACCATCTCGCTGTCGGACGGGGAAGAGCCCCCGCCCTACCAGGGCCCCTGCACGCTCCAGCTGCGGGACCCCGAGCAGCAGCTGGAGCTGAACCGGGAGTCGGTGCGCGCACCCCCGAACAGAACCATCTTCGACAGCGACCTGATGGAAAGTGCCATGCTGGGCGGCCCCTGCCCCCCCAGCAGTAACTCGGGCATCAGCGCCACGTGCTACGGGGGCGGTGGGCGCATGGAGGGACCGCCCCCCACCTATAGCGAGGTCATCGGCCACTACCCCGGCGCCTCCACCTTCCAGCACCAGCAGAGCAGCGGGCCAGCCTCCTTGCTGGAGGGCACCCGGCTGCACCCCGCACACATCGCCCCCTTGGAGAGCACAGCGGCCTGGAGCAAAGAGAAGGATAAACAGAAGGGACACCCCCTCTAGGAGTCCCGAGGGCGGGCCGGGGCCGCAGTAGGTAAAACCGCAAATCACTCCGCACTTCTTGAAAGAAAAGAGAGAGGAGGCCGGGGCGACACACAGAAAATGCGACGCGTAACCATCCTCCTCCCCCCTCCCCCACCTCTCTGTGTATAAATATTTACGTGTTCTGTCTGGTCTGAATGCACAAGCTAAGAAGGCTTGCAAAAAAAAAAAAAAAGCAAAAAAAAAAAAACACCCCACGTTTCTTTGTTGAGCTGTGTCTTGAAGGCAAAAGAAAAAAAAATATTCTACACTAGTCTTTTCTGTTTCTAGTTGAGCTGCGTGCGTGAATGCTTACTTTCTTTTGTTTGTTTATGATGATTTCACTTAACTTTAAAGACATATTTGCACAAAACCTTTGTTTAAAGATCTGCAATATTATATATATAAATATATATAAAATAAGAGAAACTGTATGTGCGAGGGCAGGAGTATTTTTGTATTAGAAGAGGCCTATTACAAAAAAAAAAGTTGTTTTCTGAACTAGGAGAGAAAAAAAATGGCAATTTTTGAGTGCCAACTGAGAAAGTGTGTATTACCTTGTAAAGAAAAAAAAACTACAAAGCAGGGGTTTAGAGTTATTTATATAAATGTTGAGCTTTTGCACTATTTTTTAATATAAATATGTCAGTGCTTGTTTGATGGAAACTTCTATCCACCTGTGTCAAGACTTTTAAGGGAGAAATGTTGGAATTTCCCGGTCGACTTCAGGCAGAGCGTGGGCTCCACGCTGGGGCTGGAGAGAGGCTCCCCAGGGCTGACCTCCTGCACAGTGGAAGCTTTCATCTAGTGATAGGTTATTACCTCGGTCTACATTCCCTCCTGAAGGAGACGTGTTTAGCCCTCCTCTGGGCCACGACAGCCTTTGGATCGCAAATGAAATAGGAAAAGTTAACTCCAGGCCCCAAGTTCCAGGAAGGTGGGCTTTGCTCTTCCCGAAATGAAGATTAACTGTTACTGAAGGAATCTTAGTTTGTTTGTTTTTTTTTCTCTCTTCTTTTTTGAACCATGAAGGTCCCCATAGGAAGGGGCTCGCCAAGGTGCTCCCTGCCTGCATCGCCAGGGCCCTGCCAGAGGCAGTTAGGTGGCTCAGGCGTGCAGGATGCTTCGGCAGTTCAGTGGCCCCGCACTGCGCCAGCTGAGGTGGGTGCAGCCTGCTGGCATGTAGGAAAGGCCCAAAGGACTAGCCACGTGACCTCACCCCTGTCTTTATATCGGTTCTCACGTAACAGGCCCATAACCAGAAGACCAGAGACGAAAGAGTGGTATGCCCAGGTTTCTCCCAGGACACTGCGAAAGGGTGAAAACGAGAAAAACCGTCAAACCAACACAGACTCAAGCTTTAGGAAGTAGAAGCAGAATTCTTCCCCTTCTCCTCTCTTTTCGCATTTCATTCCCTCCCCCGTGGAAACCATCGTTTTTGGTGTCTTTGTGTGTCTGTGTTTTCACAAGCGTCTTTGTCAGACACAACTCTTGATTACCAGGATTTTACCGCTTAGATATTGGTGGGACCCCTCGCTGGTGGCGTGCATGTGTGCAGATGGAGATGACGGGGAGAGAGTTGAGCAAATGAGAGTCCTTCCTGCCACCAAGGACGGGCTCATATTCCATGGGGTGACGCCCCCGGCAAGAGAGTAGCCCCCCCCCACCCCGCCCACCCATCCTGCAGAGGTGTCTCTTCATTTTCAACAGAATCCCAACTAGCTGGTTAAGAGAAAAGAAAAGGATAAGAGGCAATAACTATTGTTTTAAACAACCTTTTTTATTACTTGAAAAACTTGAGAACAGTTTTGAAGTTCTGACCATTTGAACTATTTCTATCATGTACCTTTTAAGAACACGGTGACCAATAGGTGACCGAGGTGTCTGAGTGCCCGCTCACCAGCCTGTCAGAAAGTTCTGGTCCCTTGACAATAAAACCTGCCTCTCTGTGGGGTCTTCAGCCTAACCTCTGCCTCTCTCTCTCGAAGATTCTTTGTAAAGGTCATTCATGCAGAGACATCCCTAGAGTTTCTCCTGAAAGGTACAGGGACACATTTATAAAGTTTTTTAAAAACAAAACGTATCTTTCCTTTATGTGAAGCATCTCCCTAGTGCCTTACTGAGGAAGCGGTTGACCCCTTCTGTCCTCAGGCAGCAGTGTTCCTGGACAGTGCCCCTACTCACCTGGGCCTGCCTTTCCCACTCGTGGGCGACAGAGGTGACTGCTTTAAAAACACACCCATCACCCTCGTGCATGTCCCACCTGCCCTCCCTCCACCCTGGCTGTGCCTCCCTTGGGCAGGCCACCCCTCCAGCCTCCTGTCCGTACTTAACTCCCATCTGGGTCAAAAAACCTAGATGCGGACCTTGTTATTAGCGTTAGATGAAGGCCAGACCGAGGTGTCCCCAAGGTCCCCCTGAGGTCCTTCCTCTTGAGCCAAAACTTGCATCTTGTTGCTGGGGTTGGGGGCGGGGGAGGTATGGTCTGCATTTGCCAGATGGGCAACGAATTAGAAAAGGAAGCAGGGGAGGGGGTTACTGACTTCAGCTGGCTTGAGGGCAGAGCATCCCCCTCCTTGTGCCCCAGTATTGCAGTCCAGTCCTCGATGCCACAGCATCATGCCTGGGCTCCGTGCCCAGCAGACAGTTGCAGTAGTTCACGGTGGAGCAACTTGTCAGGGCCAGGGCACCTCCCAAGAAGACCACGGGTGTGTTTCTGCAGAGCTCTTGGTTTCCCTGCCGAACCCGGAGCCCTGAGGATACGTCCTTCCTCTTGGTGTTGGCTGTCATGCTCTTATTCTTGAAAAGCCTTTGAGCATCCCTTGAGAGGGCCCCCTTTTCCAGGAGAAGGTGGAAGGGGAGGGGTCCTCGGCAGTGGCTGGTTGGAGGGGGACCAGGCTGGGCTCAGAGAAGGTGGCGGAGCTCAGCTTTTTCTACTCGCATTATTTCCCTGTCTGTCCATCATCATGTTTCCTCTGGAGGAAAACTTTCCCCTGCAAAGCCCAGGTCTACACAGACGGCCTTAGCAGAGTGCACTCAGAGCCGTCCGCGTCCTCACGTTTTTGCCAGGAGCTGAAAGTGACTCCCCTCCACATCTAGCGAACACCGGGGCAGGCCGAGGACCGAACCCATTCCCCTCCTTGTCTGTCTGCTCTGTAAATTGTACGTTTCAGAGAATTTTTTTTTTTCTACATGCAACACCAAGCTTCCAGATCCATAAAACATCCCGGTGATAAAGGAGAGAAAAATATTTTGTTCAGTTTGGTTTTCCGGAAACTGCACTTCAAATTTTGCTGTACTATAGAGCTCAGAAGGACCCGCTGCGCCCTCATTTGCCTGCCTGATTCCACGGTGGTTGTGCTGATGGCGACGCTTTTACGTTGCTCCCTTGGTGTTGGAACCGCTCTCTTTTGCAGCCCCGTTTCCCGAGTTCTGTTCAAGTTACATGTGTGTAAACTCCGTGGCACGCTGGGTGCAGTGCCCACGTTGCTGCTGCGTAAGACTCTGTATTTGGATGCCAATCCACAGGCCTGATGAAATCGCTTGTTGTGTATCAGTAATCATTAGTGGCAATGATGACATTCTGAAAAGCTGCAATACTTATACAATAAATTTTACAATTCTTTGGAGCCAGGCTCTTCTGCTTTCTTGAACTGCGTTGCTTTCCCCTGTCCCCTCTGCTGCCCTCAGCACCAAACCCTGGATGCCTTTCGAGGGGAGGAAGCACATTCCTCGGAGGTGCTGTGTGGCCTTGAGCAATTCCATCAACCTCTCTGTTTTAGTTCAGGCAGCATTCAGGGCGCTCAGTGAAAGCCCTTGCACAGGCAGGCATTGGGTCTCATGGGGGTAAAGAGTTTGCAAAACATTGTATATTTCCTCTTGGGGTATCATCTGCCAGGAAGTGATGAAAACTGATAAGGAATGCAAGAAACTGTCTCAGGTGGGGCTCTTCCCAGAGGCGTGTACTTGTGTGAAGATACGTATCAAGGTTGTGCTCCCAAGGGAGACAATGAAGGGAGTCAGGAAAAGGGCAGGGGGAGAAGTTGTGCAAGGGGGACTGTTTTAGGCAAAGCCCCAGCCTCAGGCTGATCTCCAGGGAGTCTGTGGGAAGCTCTGAGATGCGGATCCACGTCCCCTCCCCCCAGGAGAGGCAGTCTCTCAGGTGCTCCTGGTTCTTCCTGCCTAAGGGGGGGGGGGGGTGGAGAAAGGGTTCCCCCAGGTCCCAGGGTGGCCCCCTGAAGACGTTCCCAGGTGCAGGCCCTTAGCAGCCACTCTCGTGGAAGCAGGGATGACATGCCAGAGGGTCTGGGTGAGGCAGTGCCCACTACACTTACTGTTCTTATTACTTCCCTGGTGGTGCAGATGGTAAAGAATCTGCCCACAATGTGGTAGACCCAGGTTTGATCCCCTGGAGAAGGGAATGGCAACCTGCTCCAGTATTCTTGCCTGGAAAATTCCATGGACAGAGGAGCCTGGCGGGCTATAGTCCATGGGGTTGCAAACAGTCAGACACAACTGAGCAACTAACACTTTTCATGTCTGGTCAAAGTTGTTTTTCTTTTTTTCTAATCTGCCAAAACTGAGTTGATCTCCAGGGATGAACACTTTGGCCTCATTCCAGGGTTTTGTAATCTTCTGGGCCATAGAGCCCTATGATCAGAACACACCTCTGCCTTACCTGTTCCCCTTATCTAGTGAAGATAAGCCTCAGATTATAAAGAACTGGGGAGACACCAAGAGAGCTCATTACTCTCGGCTGGTGAGAGCAGGGACCACGGTGCTGTGCCCAGCCCAGCTCTGGAACCCAAGTGCCTCTCACTGGTGGCCACTCCCCTTGCTGACCCTCGGTCACCTGGTCTGCAGAATCGTTAACAGCAGTGCTTGTGAGGTGGGGTCCGATTGGATAATGCCAAAGGGTGCCTGGCAGAAGTAAGTATTAGCCATTTATTAATAACAGGCTCTCTGGGACAGTTTTCATATCACTTAATATCCCTCGAAGCTTCTGGATTAGTTTTCAGGTCCCAAGCACACAGACAACACCACCTCCCCAAGCCGTAGTGTCAGAGTAGAGCTTGTCCCCCGCCTGAGAGGGGAGTCACGAGTTCTAAGCAAAAAGATGACACCCCTCCCCACTTTGAGTTTAGCTAAAGCAGACGCTGTTGGCCTAATAATGGCTGAAACCACTATAGCTGTTCCTTACTGAAAGGATTCCCAGGTGGCCCAGTGGTAAAGAATCTGCCTGCCACGCAGGAGACCTGGATTCGATCCCTGGGTCGGGGAAGATCCCCTGGAGAAAGAAATGGCAACCCGCTCCAATATTCTTGCCTGGAGAGACCCATGGACAGAAGAATAGGTCTACAGCCTATGGTGTCACAAAAGAATCGGACACAACAATACTTATGAGCATCTACAAGCTGCCAAGCATGATGCTAAGATCTGAGTGAAGGGGGCAGCTCCACCTTTCACTCACTGCCCTTTGGCCCCTACAAAAAAGAAAAAAAAAAAAAGCATTTTCTGAGCCCTGCTGGGGCCTGCCAGTGCATCATACCCAACCCTAAACTCAGTGAGACAGAGTCACAGCCTGGGATGGCTCAGTACAGTGAGGACAAGAAGACTGGGTGTCTGGAGCCAGGAGAGGTTTATGAAGGCTGGATTTGGAGTTTAGGGACATGAGAAAGGAAGCCCAGGATGGTAGGGAACAAACCAGGTGACTGCATGAGCAGAGGCAGCAAGGGGACTCACCAGGCAACGTGATGCCTTGGAAGGCGGGAGGCTGAGCAGGGGCAGGGTGGAAGTGGGGGCACAGAGAAATCCAGCAGGGTTAGCAACACCAGGTTGGACCACGTGACCAAGAGAGGAGTGAAAGTTTCATTCAGAAACAATCTGATTAGCAGATATTTCACACCTTCCGTGAGCCAGGGACACAGGGTGACAAGACGCATCCTGCCCTCTGCAGCCCCAAGGCTGGTGTGTGCTGCAAGGAAAAGGAGGAGCCCCTCCCTGGCCTCCAGCAGGTCTCACATTGACTTGGGATGAGGCGGGGGCAGGCAACGGGCCCTCCTGGAGACTGGCGCCTTAGCAGTTACCTAAAAATCAAGTCAACTGGTCGCCTCATCACCCACCATCCTCATGGCCCAAAAACCAAAGTCGCTCAGTTGTGTCTGACTCTTTGAGACCCCATGGGCCTACCAGGCTCCTCCATCCATGGAATTTTCCAGGCAAGATCCCAGGGTATTTTCCCGATCCAGGGATCAAACCCAGGTCTCCTGCATTGCAGGCAGACGCTTTACCCTCTGCGCCACCAGGGAAGCCGCATGACCCAAAGCCAGTGTCTTCTACCCTACTGTGATCCATGGTTCAAATCCCCATCTGCCTGGTTTTGTAATAACATTTTATTGGCACACAGCCATATCAGTCTAGTTACACATCATCTATGGCTGCTTTTGTGCAATAATGAAAAAATTGATGAGTTACTACAGAGACTAAATGGTCCACAATGCCTAAAATATTTACTATTTGGCCCATTACAGGAAAGTTTTCAGTCTCTGCTTTAGAATGTCACATGGCTGCAACTCCAGGCATCACACTCAAAGGTTAAAAAGAATCCCATTCTTCTTTGCATCTTATTAAAAAACATAAAGCTAAACATAAGCCTTATTTTTATAACACTTTTATGTTTATGGAAAAACTGATAAAATAGTAGAGTTTCCATACATCCAGCTTCACCTATTATTAACATCTTGTACCAATGTGGTGTATTTGCTACAGTTATTAATGAATGTTGATATACTATCATTAACTAAAGTCTAAACTTCATTCAGATTTCCTTAGCTTTTCCATACCATCCTTTTCCTGGTCCAGGATTCCACCCGGGACACCACATGACTTTTACTCATCATGTCTCCTCAGGCTCCTCGTGGCTGTGACAGTGCCTCAGACTGTCCTTGTTTTTGATGACCTTGACAGTTTGGAGTGCTAGTCAGGTATTTTGTAGGATGTCTAATGTATCAGAATTTGACTGATGTTTTTCTCATGGTTTAGACTGGGGTGATGGTTTTTTGGGGGGAGGAAGACTCCAGAGGTAGAGTGCATCCTCATCACATCCTATCAAGGGTCACACATTTTCAAAGAAATGGTACTTAGGTCAGCACCATTTCCCCAAACCCGTTTCCCTGAGGCTGTGACACACATTTTCAGATAGTTACATTGTCTTGCCGCATTCTTCCATCCTGAGATCCTCTGACCTCCTAAATGCTTTTTTAATTCACGTCCCTCAAAGTTCATTCTTTATATTGTCAAGTTTTGGCACATGCATGGTGTCATGTATCCACCAGTACAGTATCATACACAAGAGATTCACTGTATTGAAAAATTCCCCTAGGCTTCTTTCACCTGTTCCACCACCCACCCCCCAAGGTCCTACAGACATGGGTTGTTTTATGAATCTGAATCCTAGTTTCCTCTGGGAAACAGGCCTGGGCAGTGAGTCAGTGAGTCCTGTCCCCTCACTGAGAACCCCCCTTATCATCTGTAACAGGCGAAGTTATAGTTCTTTTAAATCGTGTATATTTTACATTTTTAATCAAAAGAAAGCAACAAGTCCAAAGCTCCATCCTTCCCAAACTCACAGCCCAGTTCTTGGAGGTGATGACAGTCCTCAGACCTCTTCCTTCTGAGAATGACCACTTCGTCATCAAAACAATAATCTTCTACCTCTAAGTCTGTGATTTTCCAAAGTCTAGACATTGCTTCCTGGCTTCTTGCTTTGACAGATGAGGATCTAACACACCGACACTTCTCCCTACTTCGCAATAAAGAAATGTTCTCATTTTGGGTTCCTTTTATGATTGTCTTTGTGACTTGAACTGCTGTTATCTACATTATTTTGTGCTCCCTCTAAGGGGACAGGGTCTCTGGACTCCCCACCTGGCAAGTTGAGACTGTGCTGCCGCTGGCCTGGTCTTTAGCTCACCCCCTCTTCCCAGTCTTCTTTCACCTCCTTTCTACCTGACTTCTCTCCATTTTTACTTCCAACTTATCAAGACAAGTGACATTTCTATTCTGCCCTCTATCATAATTCAGTCCTCTGTGCTTTATCTGTGAGTTGATCCTAAAACTGAAACTCAGTAAATGCTCTTTACATTGTTGTGACTATGTGTATATTGCTCATTGTGTTGCAAAGTCTCATTCAGTAAAAAGAACTGTTTTGTTATTTTTTATTACAAAGAGCTATGGACTAAATGTTGTCCCTCACCTCCAAATTCAAATATTGAACCCCTAATAGGACTGATTTTGAAGCTGAAACTCCAATACTTTGGCCACCTGATGCGAAGAGCTGACTCATTGGAAAAGACCCTGAAGCTGGGAAAGATTGAGGGCAGGAGGAGAAGGAGACAACAGAAGATGAGAAGGTTGGATGGTGTCACCGACTTGATGGACATCAACTTGAACAAACTCCAGGAGATGGTGAGGGACAGGGAAGCCTGGTGTGCTGCACTCCATGGGGTCACAAAGAATAGGACACAACTGAGCAA